AGAGCAGCCCTGAGGAAAAGGACTTGGGAGTGCTGATGGATGAGAAGCTCAACATGAGCCGACAATGTGCACTGGCAGCCCAGAAAGCAAATCGTATCCTGGGCTGTATCAAAAGAAGTGTGGCCAGCAGGTCAAGGGAAGTGATTCTGCCCCTCTACTCAGCTCTCATGAGACCCCACCTAGAATACTGCGTTCAGGTCTGGAGTCCCCAACACAAGAAGGACATGGAGCTACTGGAGTGAGTCCAGAGGAGGGCCACGAAGATGATCCGAGGGCTGGAGCACCTCTCCTATGAAGACAGGCTGAGAGAGTTGGGGCTGTTCAGCCTGGAGAAGAGAAGGCTCCGGGGTGATCTTACAGCAGCTTTCCAGTACTTAGGTACTAAAGGGGGCCTACAGGAAAGCTGGAGAGGGATTTTTTACAAGGGTGTGTGGTGATAGGACAAGGGGCAGTGGATTCAAACTCAAAGAGGGGAGATTTAGATTAGATCTAAGCAAAAAATTCTTCACTCTGAGGGCAGTGAGGCAGTGGAACAGGTTGCCCAGAGAAGTTGTGGATGCCCCATCCCTGGAAGTGTTCAAGGCCAGGTTGGATGAGGCTTTGGGCAACCTGGTGTAGTGGAGGATTTCTCTGCCCATGGCAGGGGGGGTGGAACTAGATGATCTTTAAGGGCCCTTCCAACCCTAACCATTCTACGATTCTATAATTAATATGCTTTAAAAGCAGCTTGCAACTCACAGTTGCAATCAACATTTCACTTGGATGAACACAGTAAAATTTAAATATAAAAGAACAATATAGAGAAAATTAAGTTGTCTTTTTTAAGTGTTTATGAACTCAGTTCTTGGTAAATTAGTTATTTATGTTTTATATTTAAATATAGTCTAGTAAATTCCATTCTAATTCAAGTAGGAATTACATGCAAAAAAAAAAAAGCTACTATGACACTGAAATGAAAGTTTAAAATTTAAATGAACAAAACTGCAGGTAGGTAATTAAAGTTTTTTCCTGATTCAGTGTACTAACTACTCAGTTATTAGTATCTGTAGTTCTGGTGCAGTTAGTACTGATTTTAACAGCGTAATGACTTGTAGAAAAATAGTTCTGAAAGTGTTAATTTAGCTCAAGTAAATCATGAACTTTGGAAATTTCTTACTTACCTGCTGTCTCTTTCCTGGGCATTCGGAGAGCTGGGTGAGGCACAGGAGCAAATTGCTGCAGGGGCAGAAGGGCCATACCCCATTGTCCCTGTTGTATGGAGGCTACAATGTTTGATTTATTTTTAATGCTATGAACACCTAAAGAGTTCTAAGGAAGAAACTTAGGTCTCTTTCTTCTGAGACCTAAGTCATGTTTGTGTACAGTATTATGCAATTCAAATTATATAGTAATTATGTATGACCTGGTAATTGTAGTATTGTGGTCATAGAGGCAGAAAAATACACTGTATAACATGTTTCTTGTTACTTTAAAATTGCAAGGAAGATTTTCAATTAGTTTGCCTTTTGCTTGTTTGGATTAGTAATGTGAAGATGAACCCGTTGAAGCCGATAGGTTAGTTTGATTTGAAGAAAATGAAAGGCATTTAATAAAATCAGTGGGCAGTGGCTAGAAGTACTTCCTAGTTGTGTCAGCAAATAAACTGTGTCACCCTGTAATCAGTGATCTGTCTAATCACCCTGAATTTCTGTACATGCCATAAATATAAAACTTTGATGTTTATTAGAATTCTGTCTGACAGTTCTCAAATGAATAAAGGTAGGGAGAAGAAGACAAAAAATTTCAAGCTTGCAATACAGTTTTTATAGAATTGTTAATCAAATAGCATATTAAGATACTCTAAACTTTGATGCATTGCTTCGTTAGCCTGATCTCATCTTAACTTTTAAGCTTTCCTAATTACAGTAAATACCTTTTAAAATAATAGGGGAAACTCAAGTTTTTTTCCTTTTTGTATCCCATGCAATTTTCCCCTCTAAACCTGCAGTCTGTTCTAATGTTTCCCTTACCTATTCTTTTCATTTCCTTCCATCTCACTGCAGCACATGTAAAGAAAGCTTCTGATCCAAACCAGGCTCTCTAGATGTGTTCTCAGTAATTGATAGCTGTGTTGCTTTTGGCAGCTCATGTCAGAGGTTAGGTTTCTGTGTGTGGTTACGTGTGTGTTCTTGGCTCACCTGCTTCTGGTACACTTTAATCTGCAGCATGCCAGTGCTATCGACCATGAAATAAGGTGTAAACGAAGCTCTGCCATTTCTGTCTCCACTGGATTAGACTCCTCCAGCCATGCACATCTAGTCTCATAATATATTTTCTACCATTCTTGCAGAGACTTACTTGATTGTTTTGAGAGCATGGGGGAGGAAGAGCTGCTTTAGTTTTTTGTTTAATTTGAAAATCTTAATCTTGCATAATATGAGTAAATATTTCAATGTACATGTGTCTGGTAAGACAGTTTATACCAGCTCAGTTATAATGCATTACCTGTATTTTTAGGAAGATTTCTTAAGGAAATAGAGCTACATTTAAGGCCAATACAGTTGTTCTGCCTTTGTTTGTTAGTCGAAAACTCACCACAAGCAATAAATCCTCAGTCTGTTGGCCACTTTTACCTGAATTTGGTGGAGAGGTAGAGGTCTCACTGATTAATAAATTTGTAAAGGAATCATTAGAATTGATAAACGGAAAAATTCAAATTAATTAGTGCCCTGGGGAGAGGAGAGTTTGAGGAAGAGCTAACAATTATCCATGCTGTTTAGCTTAGGGAGATAGTATATGTGATTTGGAACAAATCACAGCATGAATTGTCTTCTGCTTAGCTGCTAGGACGTGGGCAGGAGCTGAGAGTACGGTGGTGATATGAAAGGGAAGCACTGAGGGTATTAGGACAAGATGCCTTGAAGAATATGCAGAGGAAACTGGTTTGCGTTTTATTGGCCAGATATCCTTAGGAAAATGTCTTTCATTAGTTCTGCTGTACACAGAACAGTTCGCTCTTTTTTATGTTCATTAAAACATT